ATGTATTTGCCAGTCAAGACAAACATACGCAATAGGCTTCAAGGAGACCATCTTGCAGCCTGCATGTGGATCTCAATAAATGGGCCAGACGTATCTGAATTCCCACATTTTTCTGCTGCCCTCACTGTTCGCTGCAGTCTCCTTTGGTCCTGTTTAGTGGTTGCTCCAAACCACACTGTGATTGATGAGCAAAGGACAGACTCAATGATGGCAGTTTAGAACTGGCTCAGCAGCTCCCGTTGCAGACCGTACCTCCTTAGTTGCCGCAGGAAGTACATCCTTTGCTGGGCCTTTTTGAGGATGGAGTTGATGTTGGGCTCCCCCTTCAAGTCTTGGGAAACGGTTGTTCCCAGAAACTTGAAGGTCTCCACCGTCGCCACAGGGCTGTTGGATATGGTGAGAGGAAGAAGTGCCTGACGGTGCCTCCTAGGAATGCAACGGTACTCTGTAAAATACCGGACCGTTTGGTACGCGCTGCACGGTCCGGTACGCCCTTGTGTACCATAGTATTTCGGTTTTGCACTTCCTTTTGAAAATGGCGCTTAATGCTTATCAGGCTACTGGTATGCAGTAAGCGCCAATGAGCGAAAGCCCTCCACCATGAGTTAATGTCCAATCACTGTCGTGGCTCCACCCACTCGGTGGAGCCGCTCAGTACACAGACGCAGAAAAAAAGAAAAACAAACAAGCATGGCCAGCACTAGCGGAACAGTTGAGAGGCAGAAGTTTGAAGAAGCACCGGCTTCGTACAAATCTCCAGTATGGAATTTTTTGGGTTCGCTGTAGAATACAACGACCTGGGAGTCAAAACAGTTAATAGAAATGTCACTGTTTGTAAACATTGCCTAACACGTGTCCCATATGCTAATGGAAACACGAGCAATATGGCTAAGCATCTCTAGCGTAGTCATGCTGATATAACGGTTCCTGAACAGAGGACAGACGAAAAGGTAACTGCAGGTAAACAAGTGTCTATCGAAAAAGCTTTTCAGTTAACAGACATACCCTGCCACATCCGATAAACATAAGGAAATAACCCGTGCAGTGGGAACGTTCATTGCTAAAGATTTGCAACCCTTTTCTGTTGTCGAAGATGCGGGGTTTCGCCACTTAATTTGGGTTGTGCATTTTTGTTATGTTGTGCCCTGCCGTACACATTTCAGCGCCGTTATAATTCCCGACCTCTATGACAAAGCGCGCAACGCCATCGAAAACGATTTGGCTCAAGCACAGAGCTTCATGTGGAATATAGAGTGTTTAGAGCGCTTTAAGAGGCACTTTAACATTTTTTTAAGTGTTTTTGTTTACATTTTGTAAGTTTGAATTTTATACATGTATACATATTTTTTACATAAGAGGCAGTTTTTATTATTTGTTTTCTTGTGTTATTTGTAGTGTTGTGTTTAAACCGAACTGAAACCGTGGCCCAGATACCGAGGTACATACCGTACCGTGGGATACCTGTACCGTCGCACCCCTACTGCATCCTAAAGTCCAGTGTCATCTCCACAGTCTTGACTGGGTTAAGCTCCAGGTTGTTCTGACTGCATCAGAACACCAGCCGGTCAACCTCCCGCCGATATGCGGAGTCACCATCCTGGATAAGTCCGATGACTATAGTGTCATCTGCAAAATATTAGCCTTTAGCTGTATAGAAATATTTTGGATTCCATAGAGACAATATTGAGCAAAAGTGAGTGATTTGTCTGCAGAACTTGCAATAATGCCACCAATTTACATGACACTCTTTATAGATAAGTTTTGTTTGTACCCAAAACAAAACAGGGACAGTGTCATCTCCTTTTTTGCTTCATATCAGTATTTGTCAGAAAAAATCTCATAGCAGTATTTGAGATTTTTCCTATGTGGCACATCATTTGGGTCTGGTTTCTATGCTTAATCACAAAAGTGGTTGTGACCTGCTTGTATCATTTATACATTTGATATTCACGGTTGTGGTTATTCATAAATTGTGTAGACCTATTAGATGGATCGGGTATCCGCTATCGGCCATATGTGACCAACCCACATGCGATATTTATTTGGTTTTCGGCAGTGCGTATAAAAAGAGCTCCTATTTTTTGTTAAATCAGTTTGTACAATCAGTCGCACTAGAGCTCTTTCCCATTGTAGATGTGTTTTTTTTTTTTGCGGCATTGAAGCTGACCGCTAACGCTGCCACTCAGTTTTTGCCGCATAGTGAATGTGAGCGCAGTGACTTCCGCCTGCTGTGATGTCATCCACATACCCTTCACAGTAGAGGGGGAGCATAAGAACATCAGATGAGGGTGACGATCTGGAAGTGTTTTATTCTTTTAACAACTAATAGTACAGCAAGTTGCAGTGTTTTGGGGGAAAAAAAAAAAGTTTTGAGAGATGGAAGTAGCATTTAGTCTAAAATCCAATTAAACAAACCACATCCTTTGATACAGATACAGAATGCAGTTTCATGACTCGTTTTCAACCTTCCCAAGTTCTCCTTCCATTGGCTTCCTGTAGCTGCCTGCATCAGATTCAAATCACTGATGCTCATCTACAAAGCCAAAAATGGACCAGCACCCTCCTACCTATAAGAACTTGTCTCGCCCCACATTGCTCCACTTTCTCTCTGATCCTCCAACACCACTTGACTGGTCCCACAAGGAAGACATGCTCCTAGGTTCTTTCCTATTTTGGCACCTAAGTGGTCGAATGAACTTCCCCTAGATGTTCGAACAGCTGAGTCACTGGGTGTCTTCAGACAACAACTAAAAACTCTTTCGGAAGTACTTGGATTAACATTTTCTGGGTTTATACTCTTATTATTATTATTTTTTTAAAAAGTATTACTTGCCAACTGAGTTTTTTTAGACTGATAGTATTCTTAGCTGGGTTCTGCTGAACCAGTATCAGAATGTAATCACTGATGAGACTGCACCATGTCTCTAAGCACTTATGTAAGTCGCTCCGGCTAAGGTCATCTGCCAAATTCCAAACTATAATAATAATTAAAAAAAAAAATACAGTGGATGATTGGTTTGGGCTGTCTTGTTCACTCGTTGCATCTTGAGATACACTTCATTGCAATAGCAGTCCGTCGTGTGAGTGACACTGGCCAGTGGGACAAAAATTGTGGGGCATTTTAAGCATTCAGCACTTGCATATATTCTCTTGGAAGATATTCCCACTCAACTGCAAATGCCTAAAAAATTCTTAAAATGTGCAAACGAGGTTTCTAGTAGCCTAATTAAAGATTTTTAGCATACATTTTTTTCAATTGTATTTACTAGTTTAAAATATTAATATTATATTAAAGTAAAAAGAGCTCATGTATTGGAATCTGTATTAGTATCGGCAGCTGTTTATCGGAATCGTATCGGAACTGAAAAAAATGTGGATTGGCCCATCGCTAATGAATTGGCCTTTCAGTGCCATTATTTATGCATTTTTAAAGGAGTCTTTAATGCTCCTTTTAACCATCAGCTGCGACATACTTCATGTCACATGTTTTGTGTTTGTTAATGGGCCTTTGCATTAGCATTCTGCTAACCCATCAAGAAAATGAGACCGTAATCCTCACAGCGGCAGAGTTGCTGTCACCCGAAAAGCCGTAAAACCTGTAATAGTCGTCATATGCTTTTGTGCTCATTGATTTAAGTATAGATTTCGAAAGATTAATGTTGTGAAATATTAATCCCACACCGGTAATAAAATAAAAGCCTCACTTTAACATAAATAGTAAAAGAACAGATTGCTTTAATTGCTATTACAGTTGGGTATGGGTACTCTTATTTCAAAAAGATATAAAAAGTGACAGAATCTTTTCTCATGTCATTCCGTTTGCGACAAATATAAAATGAACAAGCTACTTCAGTCAAAAACAGTGCATTTTACTTTTCATTTCAAATAAAACGCTGGGTTGCCAACTTTGGTCAGCCTGCTGAAGTGAGATTTATATGTATGTAAGAGTTTTAATACCTTGTAAATAGTCTGTAGGGTTTGCAAACTGCCCTAACACTTTTGATGTAGCTTTTAGGCTTAATGGAATAATATAGATTTGTCGTAAGATTCCTTGCGTCAGTCGGAAAACGTTAGTGTCAAATGCGTGAGAGTTTGCAACCCTGAAAACCATTTTTTTTGTTTCACCAGAATTTACTTTATAAAAAATATTACACAGTTGTTAAAAAGCGGGAACTTTGACCAACATAAAATCCCCAATTAATTATGTCTACCTCAACCCAGGATGGGGCACCAACTCATCACAGGCCACACTGACACACCATTCACTCACATCTGTGGGCAGTTGGGTAACTCCAATTAGTCTCAGTATGTTTTTGGCCTATTGGGGGGTGGAAATTGGAGTACCCAGAGGAAACCCCACGATGACCTGTAAAAACTCCACACACATGGACGGTGACTCGAACCCAGGTCCCTGAGGGGTGAGGTGACAGTGCTAACCACTTCAACACTGTGCAACCCCTGATTTAACAACAACAACAATAATAATAAAATCACAATAGAAGTAAGCTAACAACTTCAAACTAACAGTAAAGCAGTTGAGTGAAAAGCAGTGTTGATGAAAACCACCCAACCATGCAGCCCTTGTGAATCCAGATCACGCACTTCTGATTGTAGCCTTTGCACCTTGTATATGTGCCAGATGGATCCTGTAATTCTGTGCCTTTCCTCCATTTTCAGCACTGGGGCATTATTTGTATTTCTGTATTTATTTTATCTCCCTCCCAGTGCCTCACCATAGTCCTTTTGTTGCCTGGTGTGTTTTCTTCAGTTTTGTCCGATTTGTTCTTACAAATGATTGCCATCGCTCCTTCTCATTCCTTAACAAATGAGAAACCATAACCAGTATGAATATTTATTTATTTATTTATTTATTTATTTTTAATCGTTGTTCCTTTAGCCTTCCCAGTGGCCTCCATCTCTCGCACGTCAGTCCCGTTAGCTAAAACACTGCATATAACTGCGTCTGCCATCCCCTCTCTGGCCTCCCCCACTCTCTTCAGGTTCACCAGCTTAATCATGGGGGACTCGGAGCGCAGGGCTTCTGGGAACCAACAGAACGAATCTTCAGATTTGAACACGGAAAGCACAGGTACGGTGCGCCACCAGCAGTTGCTGCTCCCATGTCGTCGCTGGACTGCGCCTTAAGGGCTTTCCCTTGCCTCCCCAGGTCAGGGTCTGGTCCAGCGATGCGTAGTCGTACAAAGGGACGAGCTGGGTTTCGGCTTCACTGTGTGCGGAGAGAGGATCAAGCTGGTGCAGAACGTACGGCCAGGTCAGACGTCCCCCTGCTTCGCCGTTCCATGTGCATGTGTACACTGCAGACTTCTGCTCTTACCTCATTGCCAGTGACACAGGGCCCCTCTAGACCCCTGGACTGAGCCGACCTGAGCTGCCTGTGGCAGTGTGCTTTGTTTGTACAGTGCTGTGGGGTTGCTGTAAGGAACCCGTGTATTTCATTCTCGGCAGGGGGTGCAGCTGTAAAGGCAGGAGTCCAGGAGGGTGACCGAATCATTAAGGTTAGCCAAGCTCCACCTCCTATAAAAGATGTCTGGTCCTGTTTCATTCGAGGTAACTTGGTGTAATTCGGTCTGCCAGGTCAACGGCTCGCTAGTGTCAGCCATGACGCACCAGGAAGTAGTGAAGCTCATCAAGTGTGAGTAGCATCTGCCAGTCAAGAGAGCGAGCCTGATTTTTAATTTTTTTTTGTAGTATTAAGAATGTGTTGTGGAATTTCCACTGGCCGAAAAACATAATTGCATATTGGTGAATATAACTGTTTCCTCTCTGCCTGTATCATTACAGCCGGAACGTATGTCGCCATGACGTTACAAGGACCGCCCCCTTCAGCTCCCGCTGTCCCTTTACAGCATCTCCAAACAGACCTTTCATCCAATAACAGAATAGCAGTGGGAGGAGATACACTGCCAACTCCTCCCCCTCTCCCTCCAGCTTCCAGCAGCAATGCTATCCAGAGAATCACTGGACCCACGCCTTTGCAGGTAATTCAGACTTGTACACACTTGACAGCTGATATACATGGATAAATATCTGCCTATTTGTAATCCTTCACCTTTCCTTTCCAGGACCTACACGTGCAAAGGCATGCTTCTCAGATCCTCAGGAAAATGCTGGAACAGGAAGAGGCTGAAATTCAGGTAAGTTCAGCTTCCTGTGCCCTCTGTTAACTGCTATTGACAGTGATACGCATGTCCTTCCAACGCAGGATGAGCATCCATATGGAGGAAGGTAGCGGTGCTCCCCCGGACCAAACAGCCAGGCTGACTCATATTTGTTTTTCACAGAACCTAACGGAACAACTGTCACGAAACCCCTCCCCCTCACTGCAGGAGCGAATCAGAAGTGCAGAGAGGCTTGCTCACCAAGTCAGGGTGAAAGTTCAGCAAGAACTGGTGAGAATTATTGAAAGACAGCAAGGCAGAAGTGGAGGAAACCCTTTGGCACTGAACTTTATGAGATTGCCACGGGGTCATGACTGTTTTCTTGGATTCCCTATTTTAGGATGGAACACGATCAGAATCAGTGGCCAAATATTTTAGGGCTGGAGAGGGTGAGTGTATGTTATTGATTATCATTATGCACACGTGTGTGTGTGTGTGTGTGTGTGTGTGCGCGCGCGCATGATAGTGTGCCTGTACTGACAAGTACATAGTTACTTGTGTGTTTGAGGTGGGGATGTTATGTGATCAAGCATGTATACTCGTTTTGGGTGTTCATAACTGCTGAATAGATGTGTATGTATGTTTTTGGTCTTTGCAGGGAGTCTCTCTGTGGACTCGACCGAGGGAGACTTTGAGGTGAGGGGCAGTTCAGGCCGGGTATGCGCATGTGTTCTCACATCTTGGTGGGGACACATTTTGAGAAAAAAAGTCTCACAAACGCAAAGCATTTGTTTGCAGCTTGATTTTTTAAGAAAATAAAAATGCTAGCACATTTTGGTCTTTGTGTGTGTGTGTGTGTGTGTGTGTCATCGCATGATTACTGACTAACAACATAACCCCAGTTCAATCTTCCCTTCAGGCCTGTGAAAGCCCCAACTCCTCACCCTTATTCTCCTCCAGAACGCCTCCCTCTTGGAGGTGCAGTGATGACACGTCTTCCATTGACACGGTAAAGACTTCCTTTGTTGCTTGCTGGCGTGCACATGCACACGTACATACACACGCAAAGCTCGCTGTCTGATACTAACTGTGTAACTCTTAACCAATCTGGCCATGTGTTCCTTTCCTCAGGGTGCTCACACCCAGATCATTGGTCCAGAGGATTATGACGATGCCGGTTTTCTTAATGAGGTGAGCCCTGTTTCGTCCTGTGTAGTACAGATATTTTGTGTGGGTGTGTACTGTGGGTGCTGACGCGCGGCCACTGTCCCAGACCAACGGGCCCTTCCAGGACATCGAGGTGCTGAAGACCCGGCCAGCCCACATGATCGTCTTCATGCGATATGTCTTCAGTCAACTGTTAGACCCTAACCCACTGGTGAGTGCTCACCAGGAAACCTCGATCGGGCTTGGTAGCTCTCCTCCTGCTGTCAGTGTATGTACTTGGTATGACATAAGATTTCACAGCATCCGTGGTTGCACTGGGAGTATGTTTAGCTTCGCCTGTGGAATTTCAGATCATGGCATCCATATACCTTGTCCTCTGCAGCTCTTCTACCTGTGGGTGGAAGCCTACTTGGGTGCCAGTGCCAAAGATGCCCGTGCTCTTGCCCCACGGATTTGCTCGTGCTTCTTGGACTCAGACGCTGTGCGCACCTCTGACCGTATACGCAGACACAAGTCCTCCACTCACACATGCAAAAATGCTCACAAATTAGCACTTGAATACAAATTGTGATATTTAAACTGAACATTGTACCCTTTTTTTTTTTTTTGGTAAAATAGCCCCTCAAAATTCGTGTTCCGGAGGAGGTCTTGTCTGACATTGGTAAGATCTCTTGTGACAAGGTGCTGCCTTAATGGATAGTCTTTTATTAGCATTTTATTTCTGAATGTGTTGTCAGACTTGTCGGTGTTCTTGTTTTAATTGGAGCTTTTCTTTGTGCCAAATGCTTTATTGCTATTTCGCAACTACTGAACAATTACTGTAACCATTTATTGTAACCATCATCCAGGGTTCTTTATCCTCTGTGTGAGTGTGGGATGATGTTTTCCTATTCTTCTTCTAACACTGCACGTCCGCCTGTCTGCGGGTGCGAGGTGGATGCTGCTTTTGTTGCACATAGCCTCTGTATCTTCGCTATTCTTCATTTTGAGCCTTTTGTATGTTGTTGTTGTGCAGATAGTCGCCTGCAGGCACAGGAGGATATAAGAGGCCCTCTGTCAGAAGTACAGCAACAGGTGCTGCCTGTTATCCAGGACCAAATACAGCGCTATAGGTACAACCTTCAGGAATGTGGCCGCTTTGTGTTTCTGTGCTTCTATGTGTCTGTTTCTGTATATTAAGTGCCTCTACCTACAGGAACCAGCAGACAATGGGACTGAGTTCTCTGTTTGGAGAAGGAGATCTGCAGCTGCTGGATGGAGACCCCGTCAAGGACAAGCCGGTGGTGGACAGACAAGTGTCCGCACTCTGGGAGATACTGTGAGTATCAGTCTGTGTGCGTGTCTGTGTGTATCACTTACCGGCAGGCCTGGATTTACAGTAAAACATGTATTTAACAGAGCTGCACAGTACCTTGTCTCAAAGGTCACGCTACTGCAGGGGCAATGAAGAGGGTGCAGCCTAGATCACATGACAGCACGAGAATGCAAGGGGTTCTGTGTATGCGTGTGTTTGTCTGGGAGTAACGCTGGCTTTTTCTTTTTTGGGGCCCATTTCGTCAAGGTCAAAATTCGAGGAGGACCGGAGGTAAGGAAGCCTTTTGGGGAAGTTTTGGCTTTTCTCTGCGTTCAGAGGGACGTGCAGTGAAGTGAGACGTGGGCTCTCTCTCCCAGCTCTTCCCTGGCTTCTGCCGTGTTGCTCTATCTCCACCACGCCGGCATTAAGACACGGCCCTTCCCCGGACTGCCGGCCGAGAAAGACAAGTGGTCGGCCATTTTTCCTAAGACCAAGAAGGTAAATTTTTTTTCTCCCCTCTGTTAAAGTTATATTACTAGCATAAAGCCTAGTTCATGCTTTCCGCTTTCCGCGTGCGCTTCCGGTCTGGAGACGGCCGCGCTTACGGCAGCTTGTGTTCATACAGTGGATGTGGATGGTTGCAGTTGCTGCATGCATACTGCAGTGATATTCCTCCAAACCAGCAGGGGGCAGATGTCGTCTCCTAGGTCTGAATGAAGCTTATTCAAAAGCAGGATGAAATCAGGTTTATAACCACAAGTTTCAAGTCTTCTTGGGTTCTTAAAACAATAAAAACGCAACTTTCTTTTGTAATACTACTTGACTGATGTCGGCTTTGTCTCATAAATAATTTGGACAGTAAATATGTTTAATATTAACTATTTACCTCTGCCCAATCACGTTTGTCATTGAAAGTGTTATTCGATTCTTGTGATAAAATATGATTTTTGGGTAGAAATTAATAATAATCAAGCCATACGTGGAATGGCGCCCCTAAGAGGTCAGGGTGGGAAATGTATATTTTTTTAAATAGTTTTGCGTTCCCTCGCGATAGTTTTGTGATCCCACTACACTTGCCCACTTGCTGCAATGTGACAGCAAGGATAAACCTAAATAAAGTTTGTGTGTGCACTTCGCTTTCAGTAGCCCAGCTGTCTTATTTGCAGTTACTGGTGGTGAAGTGACACAGTGCCATTATTAATAAATAAGTATAAAAAAACACATATGTAAGTTACCCATAGTTTGTGTCAGTTGTTGTTATTAGTAATGTAAATCCATTGTGAAGGATTGCAAAAGTTTCCGGAGCTATTGATATTTATTGTTTTGAGCTGACCAAATTGAAAGGACAAAGTTTACATACATGCCACCTACTGGATGTATCTCATCAGTTATCTTGCACATGCGCATTCGAAGGACACGGTTTCCGCTGGATGTAAAAATCTGGCTACACGCGCACTGACCGCAGTCGTCAGCAGCCAGCCCCATATGACAAAATTTCCGCCACATCCCCTCGTCCGTAACTGAAAGCGCACGCAGAAAAGTGAAGTAGAAATTGGCTTTAAGAGTGCCGTCATGTATGCTGTTCAGAAAATTATCCAGCAACAAAGTACAGAGTACATATAAATACCCAAAGTGCATATAAATACCCATTAATACAATATTTAATGCAACATAAGGAGTATAGTTTGTTAATCCCTCTCTGAATGTTCCAGACAACAATTCTTTTGTATTGGTCTCCCTCCTAAAGCTCAGTGCTACAAAGAAAGACAAGGATGGGGAGGACAAGAAGAGGAACCCGATCCTGAAGTATATCGGCAAACCAAGGGGCGCATCCCAGTCCAGTACGCATGCACTTCACGCTCACGCACACATGCACACACAGAGTCCGTCCCTGGTCAGTACAGAAGTACCAGCTGCGGTATGAGCACAGACGTGTTTGAATGTGTTGTGCCTATAGGTGCTGCCACTTTATTTTCCCCGTTTTATTTTCCCAACTTGTTGTTTTAACTTTGATTTGGGAGTTTTACCCTTTTTTTTTTGCTTTCTTTTTCCAGCGTTCAACATCTTGTCTTCCTTTGAAGGTATTTTTTTTCTCATTTATCCATTCTTAGTCTTGGGTTTTCATATTTTGTTTTAATTTTGTTACCAGTTTGTATTTTCTTGTTAATAATGTTTAGAATTGCTGAATTGTATCTATTTAAAGTAACCGTGTGTGTTCCCTCTGCTCGTCTCCCCCACCACGTAGTGAAGTCCGGCAACGTGAGGAACATCATCCAGCAGTTTGAGAGCAGCCACCCTGAGGCGGTGGAGGGCGACACTGATCTTCAGAGGCTCTCTACCAGCAGCCTTGGAGATGAAATACTGGGTAGAGACAGGTGTGTGTGTGTGTGTGTGTGTGTGACAGAGAGAGAGACGCTGTGTGTTTGCGGCGTTTATGTATAGGATTTGTCTCCATTCACAGCCCAACGGTGTCAGTGCGTTTGGCTCGCAGCGAGTCCCTGAAGGCTCAGGGTGAGGGCCGGCGTCGGGGGGCCGGGGCCACCGGGGAGTCCGTGCCGCGCTCTCGTAGCGACGTGGATATGGACGACTGTGGAGAGGAGCATGAAGCGGCCGGCCTGCGCCTCCTACAGCACAGCGCCTCCTCCTCGGCCTCCAGCAGCTCCGCGAGGTCTGTCCTGTAGTCCGCCACCCATGTGCGCTGTTCCCACTTACACTCACACGTCACAACATTAAAGAAACTGTCGCCTTCCTGTTGAAGAGAGGCTTGCCATCATTCTGAAGTAAACTTTATTAAGAACAGTGAAAATAAATTCCACATTTTTATGTAGTGTGGTGAAAAAGAATTAATTTTTCCCCTTCCTCCAGATCGCTGGAAAATGCCACCCCGCCGTACACACCTCGGTCCAAACGGAGGTGAGCCCACCGTTTCATTGCTTTTACCAGTATAGGGAAAGGTTATGCTGGTATGTGGCACCTCTGTCCTGTCCCATATAGGAGTATGGAGTCCCCTGTGGTGCTGCTCCCTGACGCCCCCAGCCTAGATGAGGACGTCGCTGATTCTAGCAACTGGCAGGAGACCGTGGACCCAGAGACCCTGGCTGAGCTCGGACCCCGCGAAGTGGACCGGCAGGCTGTCATCTATGGTAACTAGACAACTAGCCGATCAAGTCCTTAAACAATCAAAGTGAAGCGAATTGCTACCTGGCCTCTGGCTCTGTGACCCAACACCCACGTCCAGTCTCTTTAGATGCTGCCTGTGCCGATTAGAGGCTTCACTTGGTGTCTCTGTCCCTGCAGAGCTCTTCACTACAGAGTCGTCACACCTGCGCACACTCAGGGTTCTGGACCAAGTGTTCTTCCAGAGGATGAGAACTGTACTGAGCTCAGAGGAGCTGGCCTGTATTTTCCCCAATCTGCCCCGAGTATACGAGCTGCACGGTCAGTAACCCTAATACTAGTCAGCTGCAGCGTTTTCAGTGTGGCCCTGTCAAGCTGTTTTTGGTTTGTTTGTTTGCTTGTTAGTTCTTCTCAGTGGGCGTCATTTGGCTTCTCTGTGGCGTTAAACGTTTCTCCGCAGCCAGGCTGACCTTATGCTGATGTTGCATTGCAGCCAGCTTGTGCGAATCCATGAAGAAGCTGCGGGAGTCTCGCATCGTTCCGGGCATCGGAGACATCATGCTGGCCAGGGTGAGCTCCCGTCTGCTCCCGCTCCTCGCCATACTCCTGCATTCCTGCCTATCTCGTCACCTCATCCCCTCCGTCTTCCCCTGTCAGTTTGAGGGGGCGGCCGGAGCGGAGTTCCAAGAGCAGGTGTCGCAGCTCTGCAGTCAGCAGTCTCAGGCACTGGAGCTCATCAAGAACAAACAGCGCAAAGACCCACGATTTGCCCACATTGTGCAGGTACAGCGGTCTTATTAACCTTGCGAGAGAATCAATTCTCTGTATTTCTGCCTGCTGTGTTTGGGTGCCGCTACAGGTGGTTGACCTTCGCTGCCAAGCTTGCTCTCACCTTCAGAGAGCAAGATGGGGTAGGCGAAAAGAGAATTTCCCCAATGGGGATCAATAAAGTATAATAATCATGACCATCATCGCCACCGTATAATCTGTTTCTCAATCAGTTTAATCCCTCTTTTTTTCCCCTCTAGGAATGTGAGGCAAACCCTCACTGTCGCAGGCTGCAACTGAAGGATCTTCTTGTGTCCGAGATGCAAAGACTCACCAAGTACCCGTTGCTGCTGGACAACATTATCAA